TCGGAAGTACGATTTGTTACGGATCAGAGTGGGCCACACAGAGCCACCAAGACCCGGAAGTACGATTTGTTACGGATAAGAGTGGGCCACACAGAGCCACCAAGGCCGACCCCCCACCGCAGCGAATGGGGTCGGCCGCAGCAGGCGGACCGGAAGGCGCCTGCCGGACCGTAGGCGATGGCTGAAAAGCGAGCCGTAGGTCCTGGACCTCAGGTCCACGCGGCTCCAGTGAATAGGCCGCTACTGTCAGCCTATATAATAATAACCCTAAACCTTGGTGCAAACCGGCCGGGCACGCTTGAAATCCTCCAACCTTAAATTAAGGACCTGTCGGCCACAATTAAGGATTGAGACTTCAAATTAATGACGAGGCTTTAAAACTGAGGATTGGAGCCGAAAATGAAGGACTGGGGCTGCAAAATTCAGGCTTGGAACCTAAAATTGCGGACCGGTGCTCCAAAATTTTGGATTGGGACCTCAAATTAAGGACCGGCCCCAAGACCCGGAAGTACTATCTGCTACGGCCAAGAGGGGGCCAGAAAGAGCCACCAAGACCCGGCAGTACGATTTGTTACGGCCAAGAGTGGGCCAGAAAGAGCCACCAAGACCCGGCAGTACGATTTGTTACGGCCAAGAGTGGGCCACACAGAGCCACCAAGACCCGGCAGTACGATTTGTTACGGCCAAGATTGGGCCAGAAAGAGCCACCAAGATCCGGCAGTACGATTTGTTACGGATAAGAGTGGGCCACACAGAGCCACCAAGACCCGGAAGTACGATTTGTTACGGATAAGAGTAGGCCACACAGAGCCACCAAGACCCGGCAGTACGATTGTTACGCAAGATTGTCCAAAAGAAGCAACCAGACCCTGCAGTACGATTTTGTTACGGACAAGAGGTGGGGGTTGGGCGGGCAGGGGTGGGGGGGTGGGGGAGGGTGTTGAAAGCGAGAAAAGGGGGGTGGGGCCAGAAAGAGCCACCAAGACCCGGCAGTACGATTTGCTACGGCCAAGAGTGGGCCAGAAAGAGCCACCAAGACCCGGCAGTACGATTTGTTACAGCCAAAAGTGGGCCAGAAAGAGCCACCAAGACCCGGCAGTACGCTTTGTTACGGCCAAGAGTGGGCCAGAATGAGCCACCAAGATCCGGCAGTACGATTTGATGCGGCCAAGAGTGGGCCAGAAAGAGCCACCAAGACCCGGCAGTACGATTTGTTACGGCCAAGAGTGGGCCAGAAAGAGCCACCAAGACCCGGCAGTACGATTTGTTACGGCCAAGAGTGGGCCAGAAAGAGCCACCAAGAACCAGAAATTGTATTTGCCACAACGTTGGGAAGCACCAAGACGCCAGCAAATAGTGCAGAACAAAAACACACCATTTTGTTAACCCTTGTTGTTGTGCTCAACATCCTTGAAACAAGAAGTCAAGAACCAGTGCAGAAAAAAAGCCCCATTGTGTTAGTCCTAGTTGTCGTGCTCAACATTCTTAAAACAAGAAGCCAAGAACCAGTGCAGAAAAAAAGCCCCATTTTGTTAGTCCTCGTTGTCGTGCTCAACATCCTTAAAACAAGAAGCCAAGAACCAGTGCAGAGAAAAAAAACCATTTTGTTAGTCCTGGTTGTCGTGCTCAACATCCTTGAAACAAGAAGCCAACAACCGGCCCCTTCCCCCACCGGACCTCTCACGATTGACACCTGCTGTCAATCTGGCAAGGGAGTGTGACAGCCATCCGCCGGGAGGGTCCAGAGCTACTGACAATCCAAAGGGGCAAACGGCCAGCAAGGGAGTGTGGCAGCCATCCGCCCCCTTTCCACCAAGCTCCACCCAGATTGCCACCAGCTGACAATCTGAAGCCCTGAAGATTGCCACCTGCTGACAATCCAAAGGGGCAACCGGCCAGCAAGGGAGTGTGACAGCCATCCGCCCCCTTTCCACCAACCCCCACCAGGATTGCCACCTATTGGCAATCTATACCCCCTTAAGATTGCCACCTGCTGACAATCCAAAGGGGCAACCGGCCAGCAAGGGAGTGTGACAGCCATCCGCCCCCTTTCCACCAACCCCCACCACGATTGCCACCTATTGGCAATCTGTACCCCCTTAAGATTGCCACCTGTTGGCAATCCGTACCCCCCTAAGATTGCCACCTGCTGACAATCTAGATCCCCTGTGATTGCCACTTCTTGGCAATCTGTACCCCCTTAAGATTGCCACCTGTTTGCAATCTGTACCCCCCTAAGATTGCCACCTGCTGACAATCTAGATCCCCTGTGATTGCCACCTGTTGGCAATCTGTACCCCCCTACGATTGCCGCCTTCTGACAATCTAGACCCCCTAAGATTGCCACCCCTTTGGGGCCTGGAGATTGTCACTCGGGGCCTGGCGATTGTCACTTTGGGGCCTGGAGATTGTCACCTGGGGCCTGGCGATTGTCACTTTGGGGCCTGGAGATTGTCACTCGGGGCCTGGCGATTGTCACTTTGGGGCCTGGAGATTGTCACCTGGGGCCTGGCGATTGTCACTTTGGGGCCTGGAGATTGTCACTTTGGGGCCTGGAGATTGTCACTTTGGCGTTGTGGGTGGCCTGGTTGCAAGTTTTTGCAGGTTTTGAGAGGTTTTTAAAGGCTCAGAGTGGTTTTAAAACGTTCTAAGTGGCTTCCGAAGTTATTTCAAAGGGCTTTAAGCAGTCTTGAAGCCGGGCAAAATTGACACCCACCGTCAATCTACGACCGCCCGGGGACCAGGATTTCCCCGACCCGCGCGCGTACACACAATGCGCTTTTTGGACCCTCCGTTCGCACCCCAAGGGAGCATGCTAACTGTCTTTTGGAAGCTAGTAATGGCGTTGAACTACAGCGACTGCTGTACGCGCCAGTTCACTAGCGAAGCGGCCTCCAAATACCTAAAAAGAGCCGAGGTGCCTTCCTTGAGCATTCCAAAAGTAGGCCCGCGGGTCATACTTTTGGGATGTGTGCCACGGACGCGCTTTGCCGAGGATCGGTTTGTTTCCTCAGTGCCAAGGGCCAAGGGGGCTTCCCATTGAGCCTGTCAACGGGAACGCGTGTACTCGCTCGCGGGTGCGCGTTACTACCGGGGATCCGATCTATCTCCAATCGGTGAACACATATGGGCGAAGGATGTTTCAATCCGACCAGAAACATCGGGGAAGCAGGGAGCGTGTGCTGCGGGACATTCTCTTATAAGGCGCCTAAAATAAGGCCATCCCAGTGACTAAGTACGCTGGGGGTGCCTTCGAAGACCTTCACACTCTCATACTTCCCACGCATGCATTCACTGAACATGTCCAAGCCAAGGACTGATTTTTGGTGCAAGCGACTCGGCTGCAATTAAACACGTGCATGTCCACATCTGTCCATGCTAGGCTTCCAATGTGCTAGCAATCATCTGATCTGGACGCCAAGGTACGGCCAACAAGGCCGAAACGCGCAGCAGCCGCCAGGATGCAATCACATGCGTGCACGCTCCCACTATCAAAACCCTGTCTCGCGCAACACCCCTGCTATTCTTCCTGAACTCGTCAGCTTCCAGTGTCAGGTTTCTCTGCCGCAACGCAAACACTCGCCGTAGAGCAAATTTGGGCTCAAGCTTTGGCACCATGAGCAGCACAGACAGCAGGAGCTCTGCCAGCAGCAGGTTAATTAGGTCACCGTAACCCATGACGCAAGCACAAACACACCAAGGCTAGCCGCCACACTAGCACTCTCCCACTGCATACTCAACACCCCGCACAGTTTCGTGCCGGGATGGCGGAGACACCCCTGGTGGTGCCAGCTAGAGGCGTGCCGCGACACCCTCACGGCCAACTTTTTCACGCTGAGCGGCCGCCGCATCCAGCAGCCAGTGAGATATGTCCGAGCAAATGTGACACTCGGACACCTGCGCAAGACAGCACGGAGACTGGCACTGAAGGCAGAGTGCCTGAAGTCGGGCACGCAGCCCGTGCGGCTGGTGCTGAGCGACTGCTCCCTCGAGCCAGTGCATAACTTCATAGTATGGTCGCAGGAAATCCGGGAAAGACCCGCAACTCGCAGGCTCCGGAGAAAAGCCGACATGGCCGCACGCAACTTGCGAAGAGCCTTGGCGGAGAGCCTTTGCTCTAGGCAATGAGAAACGGCCACTAAGCTGCAATTGCACGCATGCAAGCTCGCAGTTTCCCTTCCATGTCGTACGTCAGGTCCGCTCCAAACCAAGCTGCCAGCCAAGAACTAAGGAAGATACATCCGCGATGAGAGCCCCTGCAGATGCAAGATGAGCCTCCTATATCACTGGTAAGGGGTGCCTTCAAAGACCTTCACGCTTCATCATACCATCATACTTTCCCGCACATGCATTGCTTCATCACGTCACAGCCAAGGTATACCACCTTGGAATGCAATTTGGCTGCAATCAGACTTCATGTACATGTCCGCAGCCAAGGTACAGCTTTGGTCGCATCTTGACAGAAACTAGACAAGGCCATATTTGCTTTATTTTTACGTTGATTCCCTTCCAATGCCAAGGTACAACTACGCGAGGACCTCCGGAGTCCAGTTGAAAAGCCCGCCCACCACCTGACAATCTGTATCCTCGTCCATTTTACGAAGGAAATCGGCTTGGAGAGCTTGCGAATCACTTGACAATCCTCACCACCGTCCAGTTTATGAAGGAAACCGGCTTGGGAGCCCGCGAACCACCTGGCAATCTTTATTCCCGTCCATTTTATGAAGGAAATCCATTTGGCAAGCTCCCTCTTTGTTCCAGGTAGAGACATACCGTATTTCAGCCGAAATACAGCTGGGGATGTTTCACAAGGAAGGCAACAACCGCAGGTGTGAAAACACGCTCGGCCCGAGCATCGTTCACGAGTATTTCTAGGTGTGGAGGTCGAAGCATGTAGCTTCCAGTCTTGCAGATGCTGCTTGAGCATTGCATCCTGTGTTCCGCAGCAGTATCTTGCAGCTTCAAAGTTTGCATTTCCTTTCCTTCAGAGCACCCACAAGATGGACGGCCGCCGTCTGGAGTGGAGCCGGTGTTTGGAAGGCGGTCCTGGCTCGTGGTCATTGATTGACTCGGACGGCGCGGCCTTTACCACTGAAGCAGCTCCTCGATGGCATCTGCTCTTCTTTTCCACCGATCCCGTGGAGAGGCTGCAGTGCCGATTCGTCCGATGGCATCCAGCAGATGCCCAGGTTGCTGTGTTCGAAGCTGAAGAGCTGGACCATGATGCTTGGATCAGTTATCCCGCCGGCGAGGTCTACGTCCGTGAAGTGCCCTCACCCTTGGTCGTCACCTGCAGCTTGACGCCTGTCCCGCAAAATGCTGTTGACGCAGTGTTCACCACGGTGGCCGGCGGGGAGCTGCTGCGAATCGCCGGCATGTCGAACCCTTTGCCGGAGCTGGAAGAGCTTGCTACATCCGCTGCTCTAGCAGCGGCAGCCCAGGGCCGCCTGCGGAGCCGCAACCAAGCAGTGCGCACGACGTTAGACGGGCCACTGATCACGTTGGTCCTTTCCCATGACATGTGAGACATGCTGACAGCACAGAGCTAGGAAAGAGTCGTTCGTTTCACACAACCTCTGCCGTGCGCCGGCCGCGAAGGAGCACCGCGCCTTGCAGCCACAGCAGCAGAAGCGAAAAAGGAGAGTCGGCTGCAAGCAGCAAGCCAACGACGCTGACATCGTGCCTGCAGCGAGAGCACACCAACCTTAACCTGGCACCGCAGCCCAATTCGTGATCGAGCCTCAAAAGCAGAGATCCGCTTCCTGAAGAACCATCTAGGCCGAAGCTGCTTCCGACAGTAAGAGAGAAAGAGCAGGCACGGTTCGCTCCCCCGCCCGTGCAGGTGAAGCCATCATGCAGCCCGAAAGCAGCCGACGGTGGGCCGACATGACAGACGACGACGATCAGGCGGGATCGCATGCGACACGCGCAGACGGCCCGACCCCGCCTGAAACCTCAACGGCCTCAGCGCACCGAACCACGAGGCGACCGGCTGGGAGTTCGAAGCGTTCAAGAAGGACTACCTGGCGAGGAGATGCAGCCTGACACTTCTGACGCCCGTGCATGCCCCAGAGCCTCCGAAGAGAGAACCCGTGTACACACGCGTGTATGTCGCGCAACTGCGCACCGAACCCACCGGCCGAGGGCGGAACAATCAAGATCGACGAGGCGCGCTGACACCTCGTGCCGTCGCCCTCAGAAATCCCAGGAAAGCACACGGGCATGCACGCACGAGGCCTGGAAAACCTCCCCGACAACCGCACCTCGACGGGACACGACCCCGCCCTCCGGCGCGAAGCCAAGAACACCCCGACGGAAGAAGGCATCACGGCCGGAATGCAAGTAAGGACTTGTGCCACGAGAAAAGCCATAGAAAAAAGAAAGCAAGCCGTACGCGGCATCGTGACCTGCAGGCCCCCAAAAAGCCACTGCCGCGCCAGCCACGATGGACGGCCGACGACGAGAGAGCCCTGGATCGAGCTTTCCAGCGAGCAGAGGCACCGGAGAGAAGCTACACCCCAAAGGCGCACAACACCTCCCCCGGCAAGCGTCTAGTCCCACTGTGTGCACAGGCCGACAGAGCCGCCGAGGCAACACCGCCAAGAAACGAAGCCGTGGAAGCGGCAAAGCTCGCAAGGAATGCCGCTGAACCATCTCACGAAGAACCGGCCGCGCGACGAGGGGGGGCCGAGACGGACTCCGACCACGACACGGAGCCCGGACCCAGCGTCGAGGCCGGCGTTTTCCCTCGAGCATCCACTGTCAAGAGCGCTCTTTAGGCAAGCAGACAATGCACCCGAGAGGAGCACTTTCGGGGCATGCTGGCCATCAAGAAGATGTCAGGCGACGGCAACTGCCTCTTCCACGCGCTCGGAGAGAACACCGGCGAGAGCGGGGCATGCCTCCGAGCCCTAATCATCCAGTACCTCAGAGAGAACGCAGAAGCCGAAGAAGACGAAGAGCAAGTGCAGGCCTGGCTACAGGAAAGCCAATACCTCCAAAGCGATCCGGGTCACTGGGGCGGCGACACGGCCATCATCGCTTTCACCCGCATGAGGCAGCAGCGAGTCCTTTTGCACTGGCGGACGCCAAACGGCGACATCCTCACGAGCGAGCGCACGCACTCGGACGTGGACGAAGCAGCCCAACGCGGGCCGCACGCAGCACCGAACGCCACGGAAGTGATCCATCTCTGGTACAACGGCAGGGACCACTACGACCTGCTAGTGCCCATAGACCGAGCAGCGCCACCAGCACCACCACTGCCGCCACCACCACCACCACCACCCCACCCGATTCCGCGCCCAGCCAAGCGCAGAAGAACCGCCGCCGGCGGAGAGGAGGCCCATCAACAGGCCCAGGCGCGCAAGACGCCGTCGAAGCCGGCGACACGACCGCCCGAGCCAGAGGCGCAGGACGAGCCCAACCTCCTGGAAGAGCTCACCAGCATGCCCGTGGCGCCGGACAGCAGCCACCCCCGGCGGAAACTGGAAGAGGCTCTCCGGCACCTCGCACACACCCAGCTGCGAGCCCAGCCGCTGATACCGCCCGGAGCCAGGCCCGAAGACCTCGACCGTGGGGAACCCTGGCCAGGACAGTTCTGCGCCTTCCAGAGCTGCAACTGGTCATTGCTCACGGGCACCGAGCAAGAGCTTCGAGAGCACGTCCAGCAAGAGCACGCAACAGCACTGCAGAGCGTCGCACAGCACCTACCCAAGCCAATCCCGGCCGATGCACTGGCCAGCGTCTACAACGAAGCCATAGCCCTGCGGTGCAGAGAGGCCGCACCCGTGGCAGGAAGCTCGCGGGACAGAAGCGCGCTGCGGAGCTTCGCCGAAGCCACCAGCAAAGACAGGGTGGAAGCGATCATTTGCTTCTGCTGCGCATGCATCCACACACGCGTGGCCGACGCCGAGGCCGCGGGCCCCATCCGCTGGCGCAGGCTCATCCAGGGTCCCCCCAGCAACGACAGGACCCACGCCGAGACAACCGAACGTCTGCACGACATCCTGAGCATCGACAAGTACCTGGGGCTCTACGACGACCTGGCCGGGGACGTCAAGCTCACCGACGTGGCCGAGCTGAACGAGTGGACCGTGACCATCCCCGGGCTCGGCGACATACTCTGCTGCCCAGAAGACCACCGCTGCCACGCCAATCCCCAGCACCCAAGCCAGCACACGCTCTGCGAGCACTGCGAGGTGCCCCTCTGCCGCGACTGCGCGCAACACTTGGACAACGGCCAGCTGCCGCCCCTGAGCTTGTGCAATGACATGTGGACAGGCTACTCCCCGGCGCGCCTGCACGCAGAGAAGGTCACAGTGATGGAAATGATCTGCGCAAGCCCCTGCGTGACGACCCTGGTGTGCATGTCCATGGAAGCGCGGCACCGCAGCGAAGGGACCACCTTAGACGAAAAAGCCCAGAACGCCCGTCACCGCCTGGGCGCACGCGGCAACGCCCTCACCTTTCCCCTCCCATGGGAAGACCTCCTGCGCAACCTAGAGGCACATCAAGCAGAAGTTGCCAGGGAGCAGGACCAGGCGGGAGCAGCAGCACCCCCCAGCCTGCCGCGCACAGGCAAGGCGCTCGCCGAGGTCGCGAGGGTGCTCCTCAAGACGAACAAAACGGGCAAGACGAGCGAGACCGAGATCAAGACGCTGCTCCACCAGGCCACCGTGCGGAGAGACGTAGTCGTGAACCTCATCCACGACATGCAGCGCCTCGGGCATCCCGCGTTCCAGCACCTGCGCATGGCGGATGTGCGGGAGGCAGCATCGCAGCTGCCAGAGGGCGGCGTGCCGCCGGAAGTACTCAAGATCATTTCCGGCCTGAGCGAGGACGACGAGACCGCCCACAAGCTGCAGCCGCAGAAGGCCGCCGCCCCGACGGACGCGCCGGAGCAGGACATGCAGCGAGCCGGCACCATCTTCGCCGACCAGCGAGCCCGGGCCGTCGTGCCGGAAGGCTGCAGCACGGACCGCGAGGACCAGAGTGGCCACGGCCGCACTCAACGACCTCCAAACCCAGCTTCGCAGCAACGAAGAGAACGAGAGGTCTTCGGCCGCATCGACGCCGCGTTCGGGTCCATCGAGAGCCAGAAGTCCGGGGTGCTGCACGTCCACTTCCAGGCACGCCGGCAGATCGCACCAGCCACACGAGATAGAGTATAGAGACCCAAACGCCCTCTCCGCGCAGAGCCGCCTCCAGTCATGAGAGACAACAAAAAAAAGGCCATGCGACACCGAAGCCACCGCCGCCCCCTGTGCAGCTCTTCCTCCAGTGCTTCCACCAGTTCAAGTCCCTCGCGGAGCTGCAGGCCCTGGGTCCCGCACGCAAGCAAGAACTCTTCCAGAAGTACTGCACCTACACGGCCCACGTCAGCCGCACCATCTACCGGGACCCGCAAACCTGGGAGAAGAAGCGCCCGGAAACGGAGGAGCAGTGGCCCGCCTACCGCGACTCCTACCTGGCCCTGAGCCGCCCGCACTACCAGAGCACAGACGCGTCCACGGACGCCACGACCTGGCGACGGCTCTATCTCGACGAGGACGTGGAGGCCCTGCAGCAGCTGAAGCAACATCACGTGCACCTCCCCAAGACGACGAACGGTCCGCGGCTGCCGCTCGACCACTGCCGCGACAAGAAAGACCCCACGAAGTGCAAGGCAGGCTTCCCTCGCGAGAAGCAGCTGTTGGACAGCACGACACTCGTGTGCGAGGGACTCGCAGAAAAGATGGGCATGCCGGTCAAGGGCAAGCGCAGCGCCCTCGGCCGTCTCTGGGGGCCTTGCAACGACCCGAACCTCAACGGCAACCACCCCGCGCTGCTGGCCGCCCTGCGCTGCAACGGCGACGTCCAGCTGCCCTACCGCTTCCCGATCACCGAGGACCTGCACGACGCCGCCGGCCGCTGCACGCGAGACTGCCCGACGAAGAGCAGCCTGCGGGAGATGACCTACCAGGCCCAGCTGAACCAAGCGGCGCAGGCGGGCTATGCATGCGACTACCAGAACAAGCGCAACCCCATCGCGGTCAACGAGGTCCAAGAGTGGAAGAGCCACAAGGACCTGGAGACCGAACTGCGGGACAACTCCTCCGCCGGCTACGTGGGCGCCAGGGCCTCGAAGCGCCTCATGACGGACGCCTTCGCCCGGGGCGTGGTCCGAGGCTCCGTGGAGTGCACCAACCTCATCGACAACGCCGGCCACAGCGACCCCACCGCCGCGGAAGCCATCAAGACCGCAGCACTCGCGGAAATGTCCCTCCAGATGGGCCTCGAGCTCATGCAAGCCGCCACCGAGGGCCGGCCGCTGCCGACAGAGCGCGCAAAGATCCAGAGCGACCTCAGTGGCCCCGGCAACAAAAGCAAAGGGAAGCTCGTCGCCCAGCCACAGCTGTGGACCGTCTACGGCAACCGCGGCACGGACCCCAGAGTGCAGCCCCTCTCGGCCTTCGAGTTCGCGCGGTACTACCACATCCAGCCAGTCAGGTATCCATGGTCCCTAAAGCAGCAGCAGGAGGCCGCCGCCGCTGATCGCGAAGCAGCCGCCGACAACGACATCACCTACCACGCCCTGCTGACGGACAAAGGCAAGGAGTTGCTCGGGAAGAAACTCGGACGTCGACTTCTGCAGGGCGGCACGGACTACCTGATCCGAGAACAAGGCGGGGAAAACTGGATGCCGCTGGGCAACGGCAACCGCGTGCGGAAGCATCGCCACGCCTGGGTCATCGTCCCACGCAAGCGGCCGCACGTGCCGGTCCTCTACGGTGCGCTCGGCAGCCGCAGCGAGGAGGAGCACATCATGAAGATCCTGCTGCTCTTCTGTCCCTGGACCAGCAACCCACACGAGGCCACCGAAGCCGTCCCGTACGTCGGCCACCTCCGCACGACGGACATGAGCAGCTGGCGCCAGGCGCTGCCATGCGCGTGGAAGCACGCCGGGGGCTTCCCCACCGAGGAGCTGAAGCGCTACGTCCTGAACTACGCCTTCGTGTTCAGCCTGCCCCGAGACCTACAGCCCGACATGGAACTGGCAGCCAACAGCGACAACGAAGATCTCCAGGACCAAATCTACAACTTCGACGCAGACGAGCTGCAGGAAGCCAGCAAGACACACGTGCGGGGCGCAGGCAAGCAAGGGGCTGCGGGCGCCGAAGAGGAGGCACCGCCCAACCAAGCAGAGGAGCCGCCCGCCACAAGCACCCAGCACGACCTCACCGTGCAAATGCTGAACCTCTCCCACAACGTCTGGCTGGGCGAAGCCTCCACGGCATCCGACATGCCGCGCGAAATGGCCGAGCAACTCCTGGAAGACGCCAAAGCAAGCACGGGGGTCGACGACGCCACACGCATGCTGGCAGATGCGGAAGCCTCGCGCAACAAGAGAGAGGCAGAAACGCCGGCAGACGCGCCCGGCCTAGCCGGAAGCCGCCGGGCCACCACGAAGCGCACCGCCAAGATCAGCAACGTCCAGCTCTGGGCGTGGCTCGAGAGCAACGAAGTGCGAAGCACGATGAACGCGGAGCAGCACGAATTCCTCAAACTCGTCGTAGAGCGCGTGCTGGTGGAGTACAACCTAGTGCCACCAGAGAACACACTCAGACGCAGTGAGGAACCGCTGGTCTGGCTGCTACACGGCCGTCCAGGCACCGGCAAGACCCACGTGCTGAAGTACGTGCGCAAGCTCTTCGAGGAGCTCCTCGGCTACGAGCAGGGCATCGACTACCAGTTCGCCGCCTTCCAGGCCACCAACGCCGCAGACATCGACGGCGAGACACTCCACACGGCCTGCGGCCTCAGCAAAGACAGAGACTGCCTGGAGACGACCTGCAGCCCGCAGACAGCGCGGCGCATGGCTTACTGGCGCTGGCTCATCGCAGACGAGGTAGGCATGATCAGCGCCCGACTGCTAGCCCAGGTGGAGACCCGCACACGGAGCACCGTGCCGAGCGCCAACCAATGTAAGTGCGACGCCGGCGGCAACGTCAGACCCTTCGCCGGCATCAACGTGATCTTCAGCGGCGACTTCCGGCAACTGCCTCCGCCCGAAGGAGGCTTCCTCGCCGACCTCCCCCTGAAGCTACAGGCGCCCGGCAAGACCGCGACGGGAGGCCCAGAGCGCGACCCCCTGGTGGACCACGGTCAGCCCCTCTTCTGGGAGGGCGCAGTGCAAGGAGTGACGGAGCTGCACCAGAGGATCAGATGCAAAGACGACTGGTGG